TCCCTTTTATATGAAAACCTATTTCCTTTTTAACTACAGTTAATACCATGTGCAAAAATAAATGTGTACCTTTTTAGCTTCAGTACAAGATTTTTTCAAAGATATTAGCGTTTGCTGGAATCTCGTTTTCATCACAACGTGAAACAGATTTAAATGTTTTTGATTAAGAATATGTGCTTTTCTTCAAACTTGAAACTGTGAATAAATGATAAAGCATATTTTAAATAAATTTTATTTATTAAAATTATGACGTACATATCTGAGTCTGAAACTTTTTGATTCCTGAATCTTTTTGACATAAACTGCCCAGATGCATTGAAAACAGGTTAAAAAACATGGGCCTCATTTTTATATATGCTGAGCACATGCGCTAATTAACTTAGGTCTGATTTTCAGATTTCCAATTTGAGTCCCATGTCAATATGTTGGCACTTAAAACATGAATCTACCTCTCCCAGAATGTCAATGGGACATTCAGAAGCATGAGATCTATAGGTTTTGTTTTTACTAATCTTGCTGTAATAGAAGTATTATAAGTACATATGTACAGTAACTATTTGTCATCTTGTGAGACATTCTTAGATGCAAGATTTTATTTTGATGAACAGATACTATGTTCTTGATTCGCTTGAATCAAAATAGAATTTGAAGCCGTCTCTCTCTCTCCTTTTTATTTGAAGTAACACAAGTTAAATCACACACACATTCATTTGTCATTAATCTTGATTCCCTGCAATCTGTGTACTTGTGGTATTAGTGTTGGACAGCACCTCCCTTTACTATTTGTTTGTCTACTCCATATTCACTTCAAGCAAGAAGAAATTGTCTGACATTGCTTAGAAATTCTCTAAATGGTAGTGCAAAATCAGACGTTGCGCACACAAGTTGCATCTTAGAACGCCCAAACTCAAGCGTCACTATATGTCAGTCATCACAGGAGCAAGCCCCAAGTGTGTACCAGCCATTCTTTGGCCATGGAGAAAAGAAGGGAACTCAGCAAAGCACCAGGCCTGTAACCCTACAACTGCATTGCTCCATGTCTTTAAGAATTGCCTGTATCTTTATTTCCCTTTGTTTCTAACAATAGCTGTTGATCTGGTTAGGTTACTTTTGCTTTTTAGACCAGGTTACTGCGATGCGGCCTCATTATGACATTACTCAAGTGATGGTAAGGGGGATCATTCAGTATGCCAACTGATTCTAATTTATGGGTCCATATTTTTGTCATTTCAATTAAATTAGTAACCCCTTATTTCTAGGTGGCTTCCAGCAGTCTTCAATTGAGTGCGGGGCTGGAGGGAGGTGGGAAGGCATCAATACTTAAGGAAGCCTCTGTGCAGTAGAGGAATTGTAACAAGCTGGACAGGATTACAATAGTAAGGGCATGACAGGGAAGAAAATGGGTATTAGTGGCTTGAGCACAGGTGTCAGAGTCTCCATTGACTTCAATTTTTTCCCTTTATCTCTTGCCTTTTTCTCTCTCATAAAAACCTAAGAGGGAGTCTATTCCCATTAATGCCAATTCCTCTGCGATGCTAAGTCATTAGCCTCTGCCCTTAAGTACCCCCCTGTGAGCTAGGTATTATAATACTGCCATACTGCTCAGAAAGTGTTCTGAGTACAATTTAATGTTTGTGAAGTACAGTCTCTTGCAGACTGATTCTTTAACATGGACCCAGCAGCCTCTGGGGTAAAGAGACACTGCAGCAAGGCTGCAAGGAGTAGGAATAGTGTAGTCGATTAACCGATAAGCAAAAGACTACATGTATTCCCTTTCACCCCCCTCAGGTTGGTGAACAGCAGGTTGACCAACAGCCTGGCTTGTGCCAGGTCCGGGACCTACCCCCACTGCAGCTCTGCATTTAAAGTGTATTATGAGCTGGGCGGGTGGGCAGGCAACCAAGAGCATGCCAGATCTAAGAACTCAGACTCCACCCTCTATATAAGGGCTGCTGCCACCCCCGCATTACTGCCTCTTCATCAGAAGCAGTAGCACAGGGTGCCAGGCAGCCAATCCATGAGGGGAGCTGATTTTTAAACTGGCTCCCTTACAGACCAACTCTTGTCTGGCACCCCGTGCTGCTTCCTTTATATCAGAGGCAGCAGTGTGGAGTAGGAGAGGGCTCCTTAGGAGTGAGGCCAGAACACACTGGCTGTCAGCCCTGCCCCTGGGGACTATAGAATAGTTGACTAACCGTTAAGAATTCATGAGGTTACTTGACACTACAATTAATTGATATTAGACATCCCTAGCAAGGAGAGGTAGCTAGTAAATGAACCACACATATTCCATCCCAAACAGAGCCAAGCTGTAGGGAACATGTAGCCTCAGCATTTCCAAATGTCACAGTAAATATGCCATTGTTGTTAATTAATAGTCCAGAACCTTATCCTCAATATAGGAATGTTAGCACTGTCTGAGAAGCACCTGCCATACATTAGATTCCTATCATTTAATTTCACGTCCAAGAGTGCACCTGTCAAGTCTGGTAATTCAGTGAGAGCTTTGGAAAAGAGAGTGGTAATTTTTTCCAGCACTCGTACAGCCTGGAGACTGAATTCACCGTTGAATTAGGTTTTGTGGCTGTGGCAGACAGGACGTGATGTGAGGTGTGTCTTATCCCTAGAAGCTGTAAAGGCAAGTCTGACTGGATCGAGGCCTTTGAATAAACAAGAAAGTTAAAAAAAAATACCTGAAGTGTTTCATCTTAATGCATGGTGGTTCTTATGGAGACAAAAAGGTGTGATTTCCTCTTACCTGGGCAGAATAGGGTTCAGTAACAATAGATCCATCACTAAGATCTCACCTGAGGAATAGTTTCTTAGAGTAACCATAGCTGGGCCTTGTAAGCCAGCACAATCTGCTGGAAGACAAGCTAATCCATCTGATGCTGTCCTGTTTCCTGTAGTGGAGATCCATTAACCGAGGTCCTTAATGTACATCTGAGTGTATCCTGCTAGTGGCATGTTACTGACTCGAAACAGTCTGTCAGTGTGGCTGCCAATAAGCCTTCAAATAAAGATGTATAAAATACTTTTCAGCAACCTGAAGTATGCTTGTGGCAGGGTGTACTATCCCTGCACTCAGTCAATGGAGTTGGATCAATCATTGTAGGGAGGCCACACCCCTTTTCCCTAATGTGTATGCTCTACCTGGAAGAGGCAGATAAAATGAGGTAGCCCAGCTCAGTCAGGCCTAGCTGTGGAGGAGGAAGGACAAGGATTGGAAGCTCCTCTAAAGGTAGCAGAAGTGCTGTAGAGCCCATGTACCCAGATCACACTGTGGCTGACTCACCAACTACGGGAGCTAACGGGGACACCAGACTGCTACCAGCTGAGGAGATGCCTGGAATGCAACTTGTGGTAGGAAGTGACCCAGTGGGAGGTGGTAGAATTTGCTGCCTAACCCTTTAGCAGGAAAGTCCTGGCTTCATAGGGCCTGAGTCAGAACTGAACCTGGTAGAGTGGGAGGCTAGAGGCCAGGTTATCCTACCACACCCAATGGACCACTAGGTGTGGCTGCTGTCTATGCTCAGTCCCAGCCCAAAGGCTCAGGAATTACGAGCTGCCCTGCCCCTTACTCAGCTGATTCTCCCACTGCCTATCCCAGCCAGGAGGCTAAAGGGCCATAGATTGTAGCTCCTGGGCGGGACAGAATAAACAGACTGGTCTGTGCTTCATTGTGGGTGTTGAGGTTATCAACAATTTGTTTACATGGTCCCAGCCAGGGTACTGGAGCCTACCCAGCTGCAACTCTCTGAAATTGCACAGAAGCTTAACTAAGTGCTGGCCTGGCTGGGTCCACAGAGCTTCCATAACAGTGTTAATCAGTGAGTTGCTCAAACAAACCCTCCATGACGATCCAGACTACTCAAGAGTTCCTTGTTTTAGGCACCATTGTCACTCTATTACAAACACCATTACAACTGTGTCAGGGAATCCCAGGAACTAGGAGGAGTATGCATGTACCCTTACTAGTCCTGCAAAGAGCAAGAGTATTTAGCCCCACATTATTATCTTTCCATGATACTCCCCCTCCAGTGTTGGGAACCTAAGTGGCTGCTGATTGCAGCAGCCCTAAGTGATATCAAGGCTACATAACTTCATACAAGGGCCTCCATGTTGATGACCCTTAGGGTCCTGCTGATTTCCTGTGACCACAGGGCTTGGAGGCCAACTCTGGGTCTTGAACAATCAGGAGAGAAAACTCCCTAACAGAATAACTGGGGACAAACTTCCTTTACATCCCTGTCACCACATCCTTGGAGTTTTCTTGCAGGTGGTGTAACTGAGTTTTAAGTTACTTGCCAATAGACACTAAAAGGGCTATTTGGTAAATCATTAGGTGCTTGTTGTCTTCAGAGTGTAAGTTCTTTAAGAACAGAACCTGTTTGGGTTTTATTCATAGTCTTTAAAAGATCCTGCAACACACTGCACAGTAATATTAATAAATACAGTATACAGATTGCAACTTCTAGTGAATCAGTCAATATTTCCTGTTTACCAGCAAGTAATGGATGTTTCTGGACTATACTTTCTCCACTTTTTTTATACCAGATTGTGCACTAAATATGTTACTTATATGGGATTTATAGATATTGGTGTGTATCAGAAACGTCTAAATTTAGTAATAGGTAAATAATTGGATTCACCTTATACTAATGGGCTGCATCTAGACTGGCATGATTTTCCACAAATGCTTTTAACAGAAAAGTTTTCCGTTAAAAGCATTTGTGGAAAAGCGCGTCTAGATTGGCACGGACGCTTTTCCGCAAAAAGTGCTTTTGCAGAAAAGCGTCCGTGCCAGTCTAGACGCACTTTTGCGCAAGAAAGCCCCGATCGCCATTTTCACGATCGGAGCTTTTTTGCGCAAAACAAATCTGAGCTGTCCACACTGGCCCTTTTGTGCAAAAGGACTTTTGCCCGAACGGGAGGAGCATAGTATTTTTATCGCAAGAAGCACTGATTTCAGACAGTAGGAAGTCAGTGTTCTTGCAGAAATTCAAGCGGCCAGTGTAGACAGCTGGCAAGTTTTTCCGCAAAAGCAGCTGCTTTTGCGGAAAAACTTGCCAGCTGTGACACAGCCATGCTGTTCAGATATAAAAGTAACCATGAGAAACACTTATGCTCGTCTCTCTGTTTCCAGTTCATTTTTCTGCCTCCCCTCCCCTCGAACTGTAACTGTCATATAAATCTGCTCTCAGGTGTCTGACATATTTCAGACCATGAACCTGCTGAAAGTTCAAAGCTTTCCGAGTGGTATATTGCAGGGAACCTAAGCAGATTTCCAAATCCTCCGCCAGCAATGGTTTTATTTTTGAGTGAAGGCACGAGCTGCATATTTTCTATGGCATGATAAAATGATAGTTGAATCTGAACACTATACAGTTGGGCTTAGCATACACTCAATCATGCTAAAGAAAACTGGGAGAGAGAAGGTCAACAATTGTTTTCTATTCATTCTCTTTCATTTTTCCTTTGGGACATGTCTATATACAGACTTGCAGCTACATTCAGTGAACACAGCAGCACCAGAGAGTTTTAGCAGATTTTTATGTTGAAGTTCTGCTACCAGTATTGACCATTATTCTTGAGCAGAGTAATTAAAGATTGCACACTGTCAGGATTTTCAATACACACAGGCAAAAACAGATACAAATTCCCACAGCTCTTATACTGCAATTCTATCTCAGCCTAAGTTACTGAGCCACTCTGGACTCCTATATGATAACTGGGCTGGAGTCCGACACCCAAATATACAATTTCAAGGTGAGCAGCAGAGCAGAATTGGAATCTGATTTTAAACTACTATCTTGGGCAAGGAATTTCTTGTTTAAATAACTTCATTCAGTTCATTTTGACTTAAACCAATAGAAGCCTTCAGCAAATGAGACATTTATGTGTTGTTCTGTAATGTTAAGGTCCATGACTGATACAAGCTATGTAAATAAAAAGCTTCTTAATATTTTAGTACCACGCTCTATAACCATTATCTAAGCAAATATATGTGCTTATTGAAGTAAATAGGGAACAGAGTTCTAAAACAACTTTTACAATAGACTTTTTATTGTAACTATAATTATTTACCATAATCTCTTTAAGCCCCAACACATACTCACAAACAATACGATATTGAAGCTAAAGAGCAATGTGGTTTTGTGTATGTGTATTAGCCATAAAGTTGATCTGAATCGATTAATCTGTCTTTTCCACTCCCACCACACAGTGATGTTAGCAGACTGATGGTCAAGGAAGTATTGAATGATAAGGGAAAGCGCTTGTTTGTTTGTTTGTTTTTTAACAAAAAAATCAAAATTAATATCCCTGTTAAACAGTGATGAATTGCCTTAGATTTCTGGAGGAGGATTATAGCAACACGTGGTGCTTCTCAATAAACGGCAATTCTATAGGTGAAGGGCTTTTTTGAGTCCAGCAGCGAGGTCTTGGGGAGTAGGGTTCTCTGCAGTGCAGCTCACTGGGATTCCTTCAACTTCTATTGCTTCTGCTGTTGTTGGACCGATAGCAGCAAACTGAAATGACAAATAATATTTATACTTGTATCTAATGTAATCAGATGTGGTGTTAGCATAAGCTCTTGCTACATTACTTCAGTATCTTCTATCATCCTGTCCTGCCTCTGATCAAACTTAATGAACATATCCAACTTGGGAACGTAACTGTAAAGGCTGTTTGGGGCTGAGGGTTTTCTATATTAAAGTAATGCATCAATTTAGCTGCTTTGTAATGACTAAGTAAAGCTTATGGCTTAGTTCACTGGTCCAAGTATCTTAAAAATCCTATTGTTTTCTTGCTCAAGGAAGATAGATTCTAACATGCATCCGCCTTGTCATTGCCAATTCAAGCAGGCACTCTTCTTGGCTCATCATAATCATGAGAAAATCTAATTCTACCCAAACGAGGAAATGGATTAGGGAAGTCAGACCAAAACCTCCTTCTGAGGCAAAAAGTTTCTGCAAAGCTCGTAACACTGTAATTCACGTTAGGCGATTCTGTTGCAGGTTCTTAGCTTACTAGTAAGACGCAACAAGTGAGTATCGGTCAATAATAGGAAAGGAGGACACGGCTAATATACTCATGAGGGATGTAAGAATCCTAAAATCCTACTATATGTGAGTAACTCGCCTTGTGCATACATTCCACAATGCTGACAACTTTGCTAGAGAGAAAATTATGTGGCCTTTTTGAGCAAGTTCATGTTACTCTATATTATGGAATATACTGGAATCATCATGTCAGTCATTCACCTAAAGTATATGATCAGAAACTGCCAGCATCAGCTTTAATATAATTTTCACTAAATCCAAAGAATAATTTAAAAATTTAACAGGAAGGACAGAGTTTAAGATTATTACACATAAGAGAATTTGTACTTCCTTAAATGCAAAGCCCAGAAACTGTAATTAATTTTGTAGTTATTAACTCCAAGAACAGTAGCACCTATGGTTGATCTAATGTCTCTCTTGTTCTTCATGCCATAATAAGAAATATGATGCTATATTCAAAACTATAAAGCACATGAGATATTGAAAGAACTGTTTGCATCACCATTCAACTGCTTTTTAAATTAATAATTTCAGTTGGTTGGTGATTTATTTCCACAGTCCCTGGAAACTCTGTAGTAATTCTCAGCAACTGCTGTGCTACATAAAAATGATGATCAAGTCCTTACTTTCCTGCTGTTCAACTCAATCCACAAACTGCTCCTGATTCCCAGATACAGCCTACTGATGCTTTTAGCCTACATAAATATTATGAATTCCCATCCCCCTTACTTTTTGCTATATGTAAATATCACCATGTAACTCTGTGAAAGATATCACAAAGGTTGTCAAACATAATAAAGTAAAAGGCTTTATTTTCATGGTCAAGTTTCACAAGGTATGATTGTTAGTCTGCACTGCAAGTCTGGCAACAGTAAAGACTTATCGAGGGCCCTCCTTTCACAGTAAATAAATGGATTAATTACAGTGGAATGAGGTAAGACCTTTTGGGAGAAATTTTGGATGAGTATGTAGGACCACTCTGTCCTTATGAAATATTGTATATGGGGGGGTTGCCCCTAACTCACCCACCCTTCTTGCGGAGGTAATTGCAACCAAAAAGGCAACCTTCAATGATGGATGTAGAAGGGAACAGGTAGCTTTTGGTTCGAAGGGCTTGCCTATTAGCACCCTAAGTACAAGGTTAAAGTCCACATGGGAATTGACGCTTTTCTTGGTGGGAAAATATTGTGTAAGTCCCGGAGGAACCTTTCAATGGAAGGGTGAGTAAAAGAGGAGTGACCCTGTAGAGGAGGATGTAGAGTCGTGAGGACAGTGACATGTACCTTAATGGAGCTAAGGGTGTGTCTGGACTACAGGTTTTGTTTTGTTTTTTAAGTGGCCTTTTTTCACAAAAAACTCCCCCTGTGTCTAGACTGCTGCTGCATTCTTTGGAAAGTAAATCGAAAGAATGTGGCAGGTTTTTTTGACCGCAGAAAACCTCGTTTACAAGGAAGAACGCCTTTTTCAAAAGTGCTCTTTTGAAAAAAGGCGCTATGTAATGCAAACTCTGCTTTTTCAAAAGAGAGCATCCAGACTGCCTGGGTGCGCTCTTTTGAAAAAGTGGCTTGCTTTTTCAAAAGTACTGGTTGTAGTATAGATGCTCTTTTTCGAAAGGCTTTTTCGAAAGGGGCTTGCAGTCTAGACATAGCCTCAGTGACAGTCTAGTTTGATGTAGGTGTAATAGGTAACTAAGTATATGTGAAACTCTGGCCTCCATTGGAATGCATTTCTGTTTTGAGCACCTCACAGTAAAATGGTTCCATTTTTGTTTGTATATTTTCCTGGTTGCAGGTCTGCAGGAGCTCATCAGGATTTGCTATACTGTGTTGGGTTACTCCGTTTCCACAGGAGTCAGACAACTATCATCCACACATGAAGACAGAGTGTATAGACGGCTGAATGGTGGATCTGCTACTTCTGTTGTGTGAGCAGGGACCAGACTGGAAGAAGGCAGTCATCTGCAACAGGTAAGGATACCACATCTGTCTGGGCCAACTTGCAGCTCTGAGTATGACTTTGGCTCTGTTCTGTTTGATTTTCAGGATGTTGTATTGAATAAGTGGAAAAGGTCGAAATGCATATAGGACGGGTACTTCCCATTTTATGCTGAATGCATCTCCAAACAAGCGGGGGCCTATGCCCACTCTGGAGCAGTAGTATGGGAACTGTGTGTTTTCATGGCTGGCAAATAGGTCCTCCACTGGGAATCCCCACTTCTGAAATAGGTGCTTCAGCATTGTGGGGTTGATTTCCCACTCGTGATTCTGTGGAAGTTTCTGCTGAGGCTGTCTGCCAGGATGCTGTCTTTGCCTGGGAGGCAGGTTGCGATCAGGCTTATGTTTTGTGGAATGCACTATTTCCACAACTGGACCGCTTCCTGGCCGAGCTGGTAAGATCAGGGTCCTCCCCCCGTGTCAATTGATATAATACATTGTGGTGACATTCTCTGTAAGTATTTGTATTTTTTTGTTCTGAATCAGTGGGAGGAAATGTATGTAAGCATTGCGTACTGCCCTGAGTTCGAGCAAGTTGATATGTCTGTTGGTCTCCTCCTTGTCCCACTGGGTTTGGACGATATGCTTGCCCAAATGGGCTCTCCAACTTATTAACGGGGCATTCATAGTGATTGTCAGTGTTGCAGGGAGCTGCTGGAAAGAGACCCATTTGCACACATTGTGATGTTGTATCTACCACGTGAGTTGTTTTTATTTTGCTTGGCGTGGTAAGGCATTTGTTTATATGGTACTATATACAGCCTGTACACCGTCCTTAGTCAGGCCTGAAGTGGCCTCATGTGAAGCCAGGATAAACTAACATGAGAAAGTTAAAGTGCATGTGAAGCCAGGATAAACTAAACATGAGAAAGTTAAAGTGTTTAATCTATTTAATATTTCTTTTCTTACTGGTTAAATTAAAACAGTCTCCCTAGCTACAACTCTAGCAAAATGGCTCGGGCATTATTATATAATTAACGGCGAGTTTCCATTAGCAACTGGTGGGCTGTGGAAAGGTTTGCATTGAGCCAGGTGGGTCACAGGCCAAAAAATTTGAGAATCACTGCTACAAATCCAACCTCTTTCGCTGGTCCCTAATTTGAAGAGTGAAATTATGGAAAAGTTCATATTCTGATCTGAATTTTACACGTCATTTCTAGTGTGATTTCAAACTCCTGTAGGAAGACATTTCTTCTGCCACAAGAGAAAGAACTATATGAGAATGTGGGGAATTGAAGAGAAATTTCCCATCAGCTCAAATATCTTTCACATTGTATCAGAAAGTGGTCCAGAAAAGTACGCGGCCCTGTTTCTCAACTAAGGACATAATCCTGAATAATAAATGATTCATTTGAAAACAGATTACCACAGAGACACTGCTCAAATTCAAACAGAAGAAGCTTTGTATTTGTGGTAAATTGAACCTCATTTCTACCTGTCCACAAGATGGAGAACCATCTCCATAACAGCTGCAGCTTGTGACCATTTGAATTTTTGAAGGTACCAACCACCTAATTGATACTTTAACAAGGTACCTCTGTTTCCCAGCATATTAGTTTAATTTGTGTGATAAGTAGTGGGGTGGAGTGGCAGCTCACTGACCCGGAGCAGGAAAAGCCCCACTGTGAGCCTGACCCCAACCCTTCATCTGACCAGAAGGTGAAGTCAGGCCAGGAGTTCAGTCAGGGACCAGCTGTCAGATGCCTGCCCTGTGATCCGGGCTGGGAGGCAGAGGACTGGTCTGGACAGGTCAGACAGCTCTGCTGTTGTTGGGGCTCTGGGCTGGGACGCAGTAGAGTGGTTGGGCCTGCATCCTCCTCTGATACCTAGTCCCTGGGCGACAGTCTACTCCTCTCCATCACTTCAGGCCAAACGCCTGTGTTTGCCGGATCTCCTCCTGAACAAGGAGATCTGACTGCTAGTGTGAACTGCTAACTGTATAGACTGTTTGTTTTATCACCCTGCCCAGAACCAAGGCCTGGGCTCCTAAATACCTAGACTGGCTTGTTAACCACTGAACTGGGCTGATCATAGGCCCGAGTCCCAGGACTACCGGGGGCCAGTGGATGTAAGTGGAGTGGCTGCTCACTGACCCAGATGGGGAACAGCCTCTCAGTGAGCTCTGACTGGCTACAGATGATCTTAAATGAATAAATGTGAGGGTAGAACTTTTAATTAAAAAAATACTTTCAAAAACTGATCATATTCATTATCATCTAGTTAAAGCGCTGTGGTAGTAAGAATTTTCAAACCGAAGAAATCAAAAATTAAAAGTCTAATGAATTACTCATTTCTTATACCTTATAAAAACAGATGTCAACAGGTGATTTATGAAAGAAAGAGGTAGCTATTTTAACTAGCACTAGTCATCTAAGACATTTAATTAAAAAATAAAAGAAATACATCTTTAAACTAATTAGTCACTCTCAGTTGAAAAACTCAAAGTTCTTTACAATGGCCAGTAAGCAGACAGCTAAGCAGAAAACCCTGATGACTTGTACAAGAGTAACTTAGTGGTACTAAGGAAAACAATTTAAATGGTCTGATTCCCCATCTCTTGATCAAACAAATAGACCACATTCCTCTCCACTATGTTTTAACACTTAGAATCATAGAATACTAGAACTGGAAGGGACCCCAAGTTGCCTTACTAAAGTCCAGTCCAGCGCCCTCACAGAAGGACCAACCACTGTCTAGATCATCCCTGATAGATATCTATCCAAACTGCTCTTAAATATGTTCAGTGATGGAGATTCCACAACCTCCCTAGGTCTTCTATTCCAGTGTTTAACCACCCTGACAATAAGGAAGTTTTTCCTAATGTCCAACCTAAACCTCCCTTGCTGCAATTTAAGCCCAATGCTTCTTGTCCTATCATCAGAGGCCAAGGAGAACATTTTTTCTCCCTCCTCCTTGTAACACCCTTTTAGATACTTGAACACTGCTATCATTTCCCCTCTCAGTCTTCTCTTTTCTAAACTAAGCAAGCCCAATTATTTCAGTCTTTCCTCATAGGTCATGTTTTCTAGGCCTTCAATCATTCTTGTTGCTCTTCTCTGGACCTTCTCCAATTTCTCCACATCTTTCTTGAACTGTACCCAGAACTGGACACAGTACTCCAACTAAGGCCTAATCAGTACAGAGTAGAAGAATGACTATTGAATCTTGCTCACAACACTCCTGCTAATGCATGCCAGAATCATATTTTGGTTTTTTTTGCAACTGTGTCACACTGTTGATTCATATTTAGCCTGTGGTCCGCTATGACCCCCTAGATCCTTTTCAGCAGTACTCCAACCTAGACCGTCACTTCTCATTCTGTATTTGTGGAATGGATTGTTCTTTCCTAAGTGGGGTACTTGGCATTTGTCCTATTTACTTTGCACCATTTCTCAGTTTGTCCAGATCATTTTGAATTATGACCCTATTCACCAGAGCTTGGTATCATCTGCAAACTTAATAATCGTACTGTCTATGCCACCATCTAAATTGTTGAGGAAGATATTCAACAGAATCTGTCCCCAAACAGATCCCTGTGGAATCCCACTTGTTATGCCCTTCCAGCATGATCATGGACAGTTGTTAGCTACTCTCTAAGAACAGTTATTCAGCCAGTTATGCACCCAACTTATAGTAGTACTATCTAGATTGGGTTTCCCTAGTTTATTGATAAGAAGGTCATGCAAGACAGTGTCAAATGCCTTACTAAAGTATACGTCCACCACTTCTCCCTTATCCACCAGGCTTGATATCGTATCAAAGAAAGCTATCAGATTGGTTTGACATGATTTGTTCTTTACACATCCATGCTGGCTGTTACCTATCATCTTATTTTCTTCCAGATGTTTGCAGATGAATTCCTTAATTACTTGCTCCATTATCTTCCCTGGCACAGATGTTAAACTGCCTGGTTTGTAGTTTTCTGGATTGTTCTTATTTCCCTTTTTATAGATGGGCACTATATTTGCCCTTTTCCAGTCTTCTGGAATCTCCCTCGACTTCCATGTTTTTTTCAAAGATGACAGCTAAAGGCCTCCTCTATCAGCTCTTTGAGTATTCTCGGATGCATTTCATCAGCCCCTGGTGATTTGAAGACAACTAACTTTTCTATGTAATTTTAACTTGTTTTTCTTTTAATTTTAACTTCTAAACCTACCCCATTTCCACTAGACTTTTAAGTTTAACTTCTAAACCTACCCCATTTCTACTAGCATTCACTGTTAGGCTTCCCGTCACCATCCATCTTCTTGATGAAAACCAAAACAAAGAAGTCATTAAGCACCTCTGCCTTTTCCAAGTGTTTCCAATTTCTTTTTATTTGTTTTATGGTTTTGAAGTGTTAGGCTATCCTTGGGTCAGGTTTTAAGCTTTAACCTTTATGTTTCTAGCTAGATTTATGTGTCTAGCTAAATTTAGCTCGATCGGATACTTATTGGATACTTTACCTTAATTTGATTAATAAAATCACCAGAAAACTTCTGAATGTGCTGAAGACAAAATCTGACACCAGATGGACTAAAGAATGTGATGCTTTCTGGAATACCCTGTATAAAAGTAAAGACGGAACAACAGGTGGGAACATGTTTCTCTTGACTCATATCAATCTCCTTAGCAGTCTCCGTATAGATACCGTGTTGTCAACCGAAAAGTGCTCAAGTCAGCTAACAGGAGGGATTTATAGAGGGATTTATTATGGTGCCTAGCCTGGGCTACACAAGGGACCAACTGAATTTCATGTGTGTGTGTGGTGTTGTTTTTTCTACCATCCATTTTCCAAGGTCATGTGAAAATTGAGTGTTCTTTGGTGCTAAGGATGTAAAGAGTAAGGATTTGGACTAAGGATGTAAAGAGTAGTTGATTAATTGACTACCCGATAAGCCTAGGTTTATAGGGTACTCTGACTATAGCCGCTCCCCGACTTACGGCCACCTCCACTTACGACCATCCGCACTTACGACCAAAGTGGTCATAAATGAGGATCCGAGTTACAAACGGCGATTCGCGCTTTCGAACAGCACGGTCGCCATGTAACTCTATGGGATCCAAGTTACGAACAGTTGGAATTACGGACCGAGTGTTGGTCCGTAACTCATTCGTAACTTGGAGAGCGGCTGTACCTGCTTTCCCCCCGCCCCATGCTGCCTCTATATCAGAGGCAGTAAGGGGAAGGGGGAGCAGAAGCCAGTTCTGGGGGGAGCCGGCTTCCCACAGCACTGTCTCCATGGTGCCACTTGCTCCCTCCCATGGACAGGAGCTGCTGCCAGAGCAGGAATCCCTTCCCCATGAGAAGCAGCAGTGTGTGTGGGGGAGGAGGGATAGGCAGGGATGCCTGCTCTGGCAGCAGCTCCTGTCCATGGGAGGGGGTCCCAGGTCCCCACTGGGACTGCTGGACCCGGCACGAGTCAAGACTGAGTAAGCCCAGCTCAGTCCCGGGTTGCATCGGGTCCAGGAACTACCCCTGCTGCGGCTCTGCAATTTAAATGTAGTCAGAGCAGGGCTGCCTGTATGCCTGGCTCTTACTACATTTAAACTGGAGAGCCACAGCAGGGAAGCACCTTCCCTTATCGACTAATTGTGTGGTGAATGCAAATTGAATCGACTACATGATTACCAATTACCCACCTCTTAACATCCTTAATGGGGACCAAGATGTTTTCTATATTAATGAACCAGATGGGGCATTCTTTATATTCTCTTACTCCTGAAAAACAGGAAACCTCCACACACTACTCTCCTAACTTTCTCCGCAGACACGTCTCAGTTCTGGATATATTCTGGGTCCCTCCCACCCTGCATATTCTCCCTCTTCATCCTAAACTCTCTCAGCCACTCAGTTTCTCACACCCAACAAAATGTAATTGCTTCAACAGGAGAGAGAGAGACTCACCAAGAGTATCTACAGCCCAGTGTTTAGGGCACTCTCCTGGAAGATATGACTACTGGACTACTGCTGTAAGGAAAATACTACCTCCTATATTTTTCATATGGAAGGGTGCCTAATTTGAGAGGAAAGTTCACAGCTGTGAATCCTGAGCAAAGTTAGAAACCTAACTCCCTTTGAGGGTGGGGCTTAAGACTTACCTTTTACAGCATTGCTTACTAAACTTAGGCAGATCCCCACTCAGCATGCTGGCTTTGGTGAATTCCTTAATAGGTATCTGACTCTCCCCATTCATTGCACAGGAAGCCTGGATACCTAACTTAGGGTTATGAACTCCAGTAAAAGGCAGAGAGCCTAAAATTAGGCATCAGTGCCCAAGTGCATTTATACACTTTAAGATAGATTCACCCCTCTCACCACCAGCCTATATTTATGCAGGGCACTGTATAGTTAACCACAATAGAAATATCAAAACATAAGAACTAGAAGCTTATAATAAACATTGTATTTGCTTTGCCTTGAATGACAACAAGCAATGAATTCCATAACAAAGATATAAAATTACAAGATGACCTGGCTGCTACTTACTCACATTTATGACCTGGGGAAGCCATATAATTTGAGAATTATAACTTTAATATTCATCTGGAAACATACAGATAGCACAGCATAACAACAAGGCTGGTGGGGCCACAGTGATTCAGGACTCTGAATGTCAGAACTTCAAAATCAATATGTAATATAACAGGAAGTCAATGCAGAGACTTTAAATCAAAAATAACATGCTCAGGCAAGCATCTGTAAGTATGCAAAGCTGCATTCTGAATAAGCTAAATCATAACTATAATGCAGGTTCCTGCAAATAAGAACATTCTAATAATCTAATATTGAGAAAACAAAAGTGTGTACCAGCGGCTCCAGATTTATTTTGCTATCCACTGACCTTAGCCTCAACCTTTATTAGATGGCAAAAAGACACTTTTAGAATGGATTTTAAGAAACTGATATATGTGAGGATAGCCTATCATCCAAAATTTTTACACTTAAAATGGAATCAGTAACACATTCTCAAATACAAATTCAGCATAAGAACTTGGCTCAGCAATCATGCAGAGCTGATAATTAGTGCTGGACTCAGATTCATGAAGTTGTGGTAAACACATTCCATGACAGAGATCCTACAATTATGGTCATGAGTAAGTAAATCATTAAATGCCTTTAGTAATTTTGTCTCTGATGTAACATGATCTAAAACCAATTTTTTTTTCAAAATTTCATTTTTGTTAAACATATAAAAAAGAACAAGATGAATATATAATTGCTGTTTCCAGTAATCCTAACAAAAACCACAACTTGCAAACTAGAAAAAAATTTGAAAAGTCTAACATCAAAGGTTGGGTTTTTTTCTCCCACAGAGGCATTATTATCTATATATTTTAGGACTTTTAACATCTGTTACTATAATATTTAAAAGGCAATGTATTTACTAAAATTTTTTGGGTGCTTTTTCCAATTTTAAGGACTAATTCAGTGTATCCAAAAGATTAAAACTATAGCCAAGGGATTCTTTTCAGTGTCAGAACAGAATATAGGAAGCTTGTTTGTTGGCCTTAGGTTTTGCGTCATCACAACAATATCTTATGCAGATAACTGAGGGGAAAAAGCAGTTTTTTATCAAGTTTTGTGTATATATCAGAAAGTTTTACATTTATGCTGGTGACCTTTGATGGTGCAATACCTGTTCTGAGAAATAATTCTTCAAGGATTCTTGGAGACTGGGATGTTGAGCAGTTTGATAAACAGTAAGGCATTCCAGGGAAATATCTGTAATTAAAAGAGAAAATATGCCAGCAAATAAACAGGATATTAATAACTCCCATTATTCCATTGCAATATCACTATAATATTAATTGCATTAAAAATAAATTACTTTAAAGACTAAGATATAAGAATATTTCTTTCAAAAGATTCCTGAGCACTTTGAGTTATAAAAGTCAATTAAAGTACTTTACATATCTAGAGCTATCTTTAATCAGAAGATCTCAAAGCACTTTACAAACACCATTTAAGCCTCACAATCTCACTGTGAATAAAATAAATGGGGAACTAAGCTAAAGAGCAAAATCAAATTATCTTCCCTATGCCAGAGATAGCTTCAGTAGTAGAGGTGGGAGTAGAACTCAGTTCTCCTGATTCTCAGTCCTTTCTCAGAGCCTCACAGTACAATCCAATATATACAGATCCATGGATGGTTCACAATGAAGAATAAGTCTTTAATCTTTTACCATTATTTTGAGAAAGGATGAGGATTTCAACAATAAGTTAACACATTAATATTAAACTCTAAAGGCTGTGACCACCTTTTTCTTTGAGTATTGTTGGAAGAACTTCTCTTTTCAGAGACCCACAAGGAAAAAGAAGAGGTGATGAATTAGGTGCTTCCCCTGTAAACAAACATATTAGCGAAATTAAATCATGGTTACATTTTTGACTGTGAGCACAAATGACACTTAAAAAGTTCAAAATTTTGAATATATACTGAAAATCCAGTATTCTTCATCTTAAGCACGTACAAAACTAAGATCACTGAAAACATTTGCAGTTCCAGCTACATCTGCAATTCAGAAGGCAGAGTCTATTTAGCATGTAAATTAAAAATGATTCCATTGCTACAGTATGAATACATTGGTTAAAAAGATCTGGCAAAAAGATAAATTGCATTTCTATATTCTATTTCCTTTGCCAAGAGAATACCAAGTAAAATGTAAGTTATCTCCTCATCAGTCTCTCCCCAATTTTCAGGCACACACTTGATTTCCTATTCAAAGGCTTAATCAGACAGAATATAGCTGCCGTACGAGCTGTGGATATCTCCATGACATGTCATGATATGTGGAGGACAGAACAGGCAACTGAAGAAAGGGACAGAATGCTTGTGTGATGGATAGTAGAAATATTGACCAGCATCCAGTGACTCAGAGGTTAAACTTAGGTAGCTAGAAAGGGTGTTGGCAGGGGACCAGAAGAACCAATGGGGTTACAGTGCTGAAATTGGAATTAAATATAGATACCTGGTCTGCTCTTCCTTTGTGTGTGATTCTAAGCTAAGGGCTGGAGGGAGCAGATGCAGAAATCAGAATGACCATGCCTATAAGAAATATTGGACATGGGAGTGAACTAGACCTGGAAATACAGATCAGCATGAATCACAAGTAGAGGTATCTAGTCATGAAGTATCTAGTCACGATAACAGTATTTTTCTTTATTTTAGTTATTTGAACTTCTCTGTGTGAATCAATGCCTTCCCTCCCCCATTCACTATCTAAGAGTTGTTCCCACAGATTTTCTCTGGCTATGTCTAGACTGCAAACCTCTTTCGAAAGAGGCTTTTTTGAAAGTATCTTTCGAAAAAGCCTCTTTTGAAAAAGAGCATCTAGAGAACAAGAAGATTTTTCAAAAAAGCGGCTTACTTTTTCGAAAGAGAGTCTAGATGCTGTCTTTCGAAAAAGCCCAGTTTTCATGCAATAGCGCCTTTTTTCAAAAGATGACTTTGGAAAAAAGGCGTTATTCCTTCTAGAATGAGGTTTACCACCATCGACAAAACTGCTGCATTCTTTCAATTTACTGTTGACAGAACACAGTGGTAGTCTAGACGCAGGTACAGTTTTTTCAAAAAAAGGCCACTTTTTTCAAAAAAAACCCTGTAGTCTAGACATACCCTCTGTGTTTTAGTTTTACTTGGTTGCTCTGTAACACCTAGCAATCAAGTAAACTTTATCAAGTATATCTTTTGTTTTGTTAATAAAAGGTGATGATCTTTCTAAGGTGATGGTTTGATTCTTGTGTCCTGGAAAGTAAGAGGGTCTGTGTGTGTGCGTGTCTGCCTGCCTAGATTGAGTGGTCAGTACCAGACCATGGTCGCTTGTTTTTGTCTTTTTTTTCAAGCTCTTTTGGGACAAAAGAGCTTGGGGTACCCCCAGGGGAGGAATTCAAGTATTCCCCCGTTTTCTTTTTAGAGTAAATCACTTGACGGTTGCAGCTTTTGAGGTTTTTTTCCCTCAGAGCCAGTGCATCTATAACTCTGGGGAGTTTTTGTAAGCAGAGCCTATAGAGCAGTGATCTCCAACCTTCTTAAGCACAAGATCACTTTTTGAATTTAAGTTCAATCCAAGATCTACCTCAAAATGCCGTTTGCCCCGCCCCACCTCCTTTTTGAGCCTTCTCTGAGGCCCCACCACTGCTCACTCCATCCTCTCTCCCTTCCCCATTCTCCCTCACTCTCACTAGGCTGGGGCAGAGGGTTGGGGTGCAGGCTTTGGTCTTGGATTAAGGGATTTGGAGTGTGAGATTGGCTCTGAGCTGAACTTGGGACAGGCAGGCAGTTGGGGTACCAGAGGGGGTTCTAGGTGCAGCCTTTGGGAGGGTGTTTGGATGCAGGGGTGCTCGGGGCTAGGACAGGAGCTTGAGGTATAAGAGGGGGTTCACGACTGGGGTAGGGTTTTGGGATATGGGCTCCAACTGGGCACTGCTTGCTTCATGTGGCTCCTGGGTGGTGGTGCAGTGGGGCTAAGGCAGGCTCACCCAAACTCCATCCCAAATCCTGCTGTGCTCCTCTCTGCTCTGGTGAGAGAGGATATAGAGTGGGAAAAGGGGGCACCTTGACATCCTCTGCTTCCCCTGCCCTACACAGAAAGCAGGAGGCTCCTGAGGGGACAGCTCCAAAGCAAAGGGCAGGTGATGTGCAGCAATGGGGGCAGGAGCACTGCAATACTGGCACTTGATAGCCTGTTGGCCGTACCAGTTAGGATCTCCTGGCAAAGGTTCCAAGATCTACCAGGAGATCCTGATCTACTGGTTGGTGACCACTGCTATCGAGGCAAGGTATTTAAGGTTCTTTGCAGGCCCTTATCTTCTGCACTTGGAGTGCCAGAGAGGGGATCGGCCCTGACACCTTGCAAAGATGTTCCAGAGTTACCTCTAGCAACTTTATTTCCTTACTTGTGGGGAAGGAGAGACTCTTATTCCTATTACCATGGTGTCTCAAAAGAGCCTCCCCACCCATCCTTACCCATTGAGTTGGATGGCCCTCATCCCTTATTGCTGTAATGTAGGGAAGAGCTTGCTGACGTCAGCTGAAAGAATGAGAAGGCTGGAGAAGATCTAGTTAATTTAAAAGTTAAAAAGCCTTCCAGACCTATTAGCATAACACTGAACCTGTGAAAGAGATACAGGCAGTCCCCGACTTACGCGGATCCGACTTACGTCGGATCCGCACTTACGAACGGGGCTTTCTCGCCCCGGAGGTCGAGGTAGCGGATTGCTACCTGCGAGCTCCGGGGCGAGAAAGCCCCATTCATAAGCTGCTCCGGTGCCCCTGGTCTGCTGGAGACCGTCTCCAGCA